GGATTGTGGGGGTTGTAGTTTTGCAAGATCTTCCCTGCCAAAGAGTGCTGGTGCCAAACTACAACTCTGAGACACATCTATATATAAGGCATGGGCAAATTTTGGTCCTTAAGTTGTTTTGGACTTCAACTCCCACAATTCCTAGCAGCCTCAGGCCCCTTCTTTTTCCCCCTCAGCCGCTTAAGGCTGAGGGGAAGAAAGGGAAAAGGAAAAAGAAAGGGCCTGAGGCTGCTAGGAATTGCGGGAGTTGAAGTCCAAAACACCTGGAGGACCAAAATTTGCCCATGCCTGATCTATGCTGTCTGACACTTCAACTGCCATGGCTCAATGTTATGGAATCTTGACATTTCTACTTCATAGAGAAAAATAGCCTCCTTTGTCAGAGAACCTTGTAAATCTACAACTCCCAGGACTCCATAGCAGTGAGCCAGGGAAGTAAAAGTGGGGGGCAGAATGGTTCTTCCCCTCAGAAACCAACTCCAGTCACCTGACGGACTCTAACCTCGCCTTTCCCCTCAAATCCCCCACTGCGGCCTTGGCCTGGGCACACCCATCCCTTGCAGCAGTGGTCGAGGCTGGAAGCGAGGCCACTTACGAGGGAAGAACCGCAGGAGGGGCCACCGACCCCGGGAAGCGAGGAGAGGGAGCCAGGGCCGCTGGGAAGGCGAGACCCTTCCTTCCTCCCTCCTTCCCTCCCCTCCGACAAATAACAACCCAGGCGCCCTTAACCCAATCTCCCACCCCGTTGGGTGAGTCCAGCAGCTCTAACGGAGCCGGAGCCTTAGTCCCGCCCCCGTCGCGTTGCTTATAGGACAACTGGCCCTGAACGCCCTTCGCCATTGGTCGAAACGCAGGCCTCCGAGTGGGTTCGAGTGTGCCACTAAGGTAGGGAGCGCCGTAGAGGATGCTTACGGATTCTCCCTGGCAACGCGTGAGCACGGGGTCACGTGATCGAAAGGGGCGGGAAGAAGAGAAACTGGGATGCAGCTATGGCGGGAGAAAGGGAGGAGCGTGTGGAAGGCTAGGAAAGCTGCTGTCAGGCGATATTGGCGCCTATATAGGACTAGCCGTCCCCTGTCACGTGTTACTGTGGCCCAGTCTGTGTATCTGTGTTTTGTGTGTATATATGTGTGTTTATCTTCTGTCTTCTATATAAATAAAAAATGTAATGTTCGTTTGTGGGATTAACAGAACTCAAAAACCACTGGACGAATTGACACCAAATTTGGACACAAGACACCTAACAACCCAATGTATGTCCTTCAGAAACATTGCCTAAACATCAAGCAAAAAGTGGGCACTAGAAACAACATCATACAAAAACTGACTGGCACAACCTGGGGATCACAACCAGACACAGTGAAGACATCTGCCCTTGCGCTATGCTACTCTGCTGCTGAGTACACATGCCCAGTGTGGAACACATCTCGCCACGCTAAAACAGTGGATGTGGCTCTTAATGAGACATGCTGCATTATCACGGGGTGTCTGCTCCCCACACCACTCAAGAAATTACACTGCTTAGCCAGTATTGCACCACCTGACATCTGCCGGGAAGTAGCAGCCAATAGTGAAAGGACCAAGGCAGAGGCATCTCCAGCTCATCCCCTGTTTGGGTATCAGCCAGCACGTCAACGACTTAAATCAAGACATAGTTTTCTTAGAACTCTACAGAGACACTCGCTGGAACACCTCAGCAAGCGAGAGTTCAAAAGTGGAAGGCCCAAACCCAGCACCTCAATCCATGGGTGATACCGGATGAGAGACTCCCCCCTGGGCACACAGAAGACTGGGCGACTTGGAAGGCGCTGAACAGACTGCGCTCTGGCACCACGAGATGCAGAGCCAATCTTAAGAAATGGGGCTACAGGGTGGAATCCACGGCATGCGAGTGCGGAGAAGAACAAACCACTGACCACCTGCTGCAATGCACCCTGAGCCCTGCCACATGCACAATGGAGGACCTTCTTGCGGCAACACCAGAGGCACTCCAAGTGGCCAGATACTGGTCAAAGGACATTTAATCAACTACCAAGCTTGCAAATTCTGTGTTTTTTTTAAATCTGTGTTTGTTTTGTTCTGTTAGAAATGTAATACAATGGTATGGTTGCTGATGACACGATAAATAAATAAAATAAATACATACTCAAAAAATTGATTTTGTCATTTGGGAGTTGTAGTTGCTGGGATTTATAGTTCACCTACAATCAAAGAGCATTCTGAACCCCACCAATGATGGAATTGAACCAAACTTGGCACACGAACATTACATTTTTATTTATATAGATTGGCTTGGGGCCCCTTCCACACAGTTGAATAAAGTCCCACAATTTCTGCTTTGAACTGGAATATAGGGCAGTATGGACTCTGGGGCCTTCCATACTCAAGCGGGAAGGTAACAGTGCTCCATGCAGTTATGCTGGCGACATGACCTTGGAGGCATTTATGGACAACACTGGCTCTTCAGCTTAGAAATGGAGATGAGCACCAACCCCCAGAATTGGACATAACTAGACTTCATGTCAGGGGGAAAATTTTACCTTTACTTATCAAGGCAGAAAAATCCCACAATATCTGCCAACATAGCAGTTCGAAAATATGCATATGCGAGTACATCAAAAGATACTGCTCCAGCAGGAGGGTATCAGCACGCCATGCAGTCATGCTGGCCACATGACCTTGGAGGCGTCTATGGATAACGCTGGCTCTTCAGCTTAGAAATGGAGATGGAGCACCAACCCCCAGAGTCAGACATGACTAGACTTAATGTCAGGGGAAAAACTTTACCTTTACTTATCAAGGCAGAAAAATCCCACAGTATCTGCTTTGAACTGGGGCCGCTTCCACACAGCTGAATAAAATCCCACATTTTCTGCTTTGAACTGGAATATATGGCAGCGTGGACTCTGGGTCCTTCCACACACCCATATAGCCCAGAATATCAAGCCCCCGGTGGCACAGCAGATTAAACTAATGAGCTGCTGAAGTTGCTAACCAGTTTGAATCTGGGGAGCGGGGTGAACTCCTGCTATTAGCCCCAGCTTCTGCCAACATAGCAGTTCAAAAACATGTAAATGTGAATAGATCAATAGGTACCGCTTCTGCAGGAAGATAACGGAGCTCCATGCAGTCATGTTGGCCACATAATCTAGGAGGTGTCTATGGACAATGCTGGCTCTTTGGCTTAGAAATGGAGATTAGCTCCAACCCCTCAGAGCTGGGCATGACTAGACTTAATGTCAGGGGAAAACCTTTACTTTTACTTATCACGGCAGAAAAATCCCACAGTATCTGCACTGAAATGGAATATATGGCAGTGTGGACTCAGATAACCAAGTTTAAAGCAGATATTGTAGGATTATCTGCCTTGATATTCTGGGTTTTATGACTCAGTGGAAGGCTCTAATTCAACCAGAGAAGTCATCTGAAGGAGATGAGAAAGTTGTTCACTGTCAATTTAAATCCCGCCTTTAAATTTGTGTTTTTGAAAGAGGTTGGCATAATCTTGGTTTTTTGGATGTTTAACTGCAACCCAGCTTTGGCACTTTCTTCTTCCACCTTGATTAGAAGGCTCCTCAGCTCCTCCTCGCCTTTGGCCATCAAAGTGATATCATCTGCATATCTAAGATTGTTAATATTTTTTCCAGCAATTCGTCAAGCCCTGCACATCACATATGTTCTGCATACAAGTTGAATAGGTTGGGTGAGAGTATACAAGTCTGTTGTTCTATGGCAATATATTCCAGTTCAAAGCAGAAAATGTGGGTGCTTTTTTTTTCAACGGTGTGGAAGGGGCCAGAGTCTTTCAAAAGACTCCTTCTTTGGAAGCTTTTAAACAGAGGCTGGATGGCCATCTGTCAGGGGTGATTTGAATGCAATATTCCTGCTTCTTGGCAGGGGGGGTTGGACTGGATGGCCCATGAGGTCTCTTCCAACTCTTTGATTCTATGATTCTATGAAAAATAGCTCCCAAATCTTGCCAGGCTTCAACAGGCAACCACGCGCATGCGCCAAGAGATCCTATTGGAATCCCGCTTTTGAGGGCCGCAGATCTCGCCGCGGCCAGCGCGCATGCGCGTCCTGAAAAAAAGCAATCTTGACGTCGCCGAGGCGGTGGTAAAGGAAGGGCGGGGTTCCGTTGTGGGAGCGCGGCTTGGGAGCTGATTGGCTGAGCTGGCCCGAGACCCGCCTCCTCGCGAGCCTCTCCGCCCGGTTCGGCGGCGAAGAGGAGGATGCGTGAGGGCTCTCAGGGGATCGCCAGGCGGCGGCGCTGCCACACGGCCAGGTAGGCGAGCGAGCGAGGGAAGGCAGGGAGGGAGGTGAAGGAAAAGGGGCCTCTGTAGAAGGAGGCCGTCGGAAGAGTGATGGAGACAGCCTGTCAGAATGGTCGCATCTCCTGCTTCAGGTGCATTAGTCACGCGTTCGCCTTTCTCCTCAGCAGAGAGGCAGAGAGAGAGAGAGAGAGAGAGAGAGGGAGGATGCATTGCGAGTTGTTGTGTTTGAGGAGAGGCTTTGCATCCTTAGGTCTTCTGCTTCATTGTTTTGAAATAGAAGGCTGCTTCTCCTCCTGATGCTGCTTTCACTCGTTGGTATCAACAGAGTCCAAACCACTTTAACTGTCATAGCTCAATGCTGTGGTCTCCTGGGAGATATAGTTTTACAAGGGGTTCATCTTGGCTCAGTTTGATATTAGCTGCCGCGGCTCAGTGGAATCCTGGGATTTGTAGTTTTCCCGGGACACCAGCAGACACTAAACTCCCTGTGAAACTACAACTCCCATGGTTCCATAGCACTGTGGCCCTTTCCACACAGCTGAATAAAATCCCACATGATCTGCTTTGAACTTCATGGCCTATGGCTGGTATAATAAACAATTCATTCGAATTGCATTCAGCCAACAATGTGATGTGGCGGCAAAAAAAACCTATGGGATTTTGGCCTGCATCAATAGGAGCATATTCCACTTTGGTTAGACCACACCTGGAATATTGTGTCCAATTCTGGGCACCACAATTCAAGAGAGATATTGACAAGCTGGAATGTGTCCAGAGGAGGGCGACTAAAATGATCAAGGGTCTGGAGAACAAGCCCTATGAGGAGCGGCTTAAGGAGCTGGGCATGTTTAGCCTGAAGAAGAGAAGGCTGAGAGGAGACATGATAGACATGTATAAATATGTGAGAGGAAGCCACAGGGAGGAGGGAGCAAGCTTGTTTTCTGCTTCCTTGGAGACTAGGACGGAACAATGGCTTCAAACTACAAGAGAGGAGATTCCATCTGAACATGAGGAAGAACTTCCTGACTGTGAGAGCCGTTCAGCAGTGGAACTCTCTGCCGGAGTGTGGTGGAGGCTCCTTCTTTGGAAGCTTTTAAACAGAGGCTGGATGGCCATCTGTCAGGGGTGATTTGAATGCAACATTCCTGCTTCTTGGCAGGGGGTTGGACTGGATGGCCCATGAGGTCTCTTCCAACTCTTTTATTCTATGATTCTATGAATTGCTTTGAACTAGAATATATGGCAGTGTAGATTAAGATAATGCAGTTCAAAGCAGATATTGTGGGATTTTCTGTCTCGATATTCTGGGTTATGGGGCTGTGTGGAAGGGCCCAGTGGGAACTCAGATAACCCAGTTCAAAGCAGATATTGTGGGACAATCTGCCTTATTTATTTATTTGTTGTGTCAGGGCAACCAGTCAATTATATTACATTTCTAACAGAACAAAACAAACAAACAAACAGACAAAATACAAAATTTGTGAGTTTGGTAGTTGATTAAATGTCCTTTGACCAGTATCTGGCCACTTGGAGTGCTTCTGCCTTGATATTCTGGGATATAGGGCTGTGCGGAAGAGCCCTGCGACAACACAGTTCAAAGCAGATATTGTGAGTAATTTTGCCTTGATATTTTGGGTTATGTGGCTGTGTGGAAGGGCCTAGTGTGGACCCAGATAAACCAGCTCAAAGCGGATCATCGTGGGTTATTCTGCCTTGATATTCTGGGTTATGTGGCTGTGTCAAAATACAAGTTGCGAAGCGTTATCCAAACAGAACTATGTTAGCATAAACCATGTAAATACACTGCATATGAACCATACAAAGAAATAACAAGTCTGAATGCTACTTGGTTATCTCATAGTCCGTGAGAAAGTAAACTGTCTTCAAAATACAATCCAAATTAAGTCCAAATAGTTCAAAATGCTGTCCAGTTCAAAATATTATCCAAATTATAGTGCAGGGGTCCACAAACTTTTTCAACAGAGGGCCAGGTCACAGTCCCACAAACTTTTGGAGGGCCGGATTATAATTTGAAAAATAAAATGAATGAATTCCTATGCACACTGCACATATCTTATTTGTAGTGCAAAAACACTTAAAAGCAATACTATAATTAAGATGAAAAACAATTTTAACAAATATAAACTTATTAGTATTTCAATGGTAAGTGTGGACCTGCTTTTGGCTGATGAGATAGGATTGTTGTTGGTGTGTGCTTTCAAGTCATTTCAGACTTAGGTTGACCCAGAGTGAGGGCCGAGTAAATGACCTTGGAGGGCCGCATCCGGCCCCCGGGCCTTAGTTTGAGGACCCCTGTTATAATGCAAGAAGGCTGTATGGAAGGGCCTAGTGTGGACTCAGATAACCCAGTTCAAAGCAGATATTGTGGGTTATTCTGTTTTGAAATTCTGGGTTGTGTGGCTGTGTTGAAGGCCCAGTGTGGACTCAGATAACCCAGAGCCCTTCCACACAGCCATATAACCCAGAATATCAAGGCAGAAAATCCCACGATACCTGTTTTGAACTAGGTTATCTGAGTCCACACTGCCATATATTCCAGTTCAAAAGCAGATAATGTGGGATTCTATTCAGCTGTGAATTCAGATAACCCAGTTCAAAGCAGATATCGTGGGATTTTCTACCTTTTGTCATGTCAGGAGCGACTTGAGAAACTGCAAGTTGCTTCTGGTGTGAGAGAATTGGCTGTCTGCAAGGACGTTGCCCAGGGGACGTCCGGATGTTTTGATGTTTTACCATCCTTGTGGGAGGCTTCTCTCATGTCCCCGCATGGGGAGCTGGAGCTGACAGAGGGAGCTCATCCATGATCTCTTTGGATTTGAACCTTTGACCTGTCAATCTTCAGTCCTGCTGGCACAAGGGTTTAACCCACTGCGCCACTGGGGACTATGTGGAAGGGCCCTGTTAAAATGGTGTTGAAATGGTGTTCATTCTACAGCGAAGATGCACCCTGATTGACTTTTTATATGCAGTGTACTTCAACCAAGAGTGGGCAGAATCGGGTTGCAGCTTCCAAGGTTTCTAGCCTTCTCTGCCGAAAGCTACCTATGCATTACCAAACGGCAGCTCCCAGGATTCCACCGGTTTGAGCCATTGCAGTTACAGTGGTATCAAACTCTGTTGATTTTACAATGTAGATGCACCTCTTTCTGATAAGGAAGGAAGGAGCCTTGCCTTCCACAGACCTTCTTATCAGTCCTCACAGCATTTCTGCAGAAAGAGCCACATCCCAGTGGCTTTCTCTTGCCTAAACAATGGCCTCCTGTTTCTTTTAGACTAGGCACAGCAAACTTCGGCCCTCCAGGTGTTTTGGACTTCAATTCCTATCATTCTTAACAGCTGGTAGGCTGCCAGGAATTGTGGGAGTTTAAGTCCTAAACACCTGGAGGGCCAAAGTTTGCCCATTTTTAATTAATTAACTAATTAATTAATATCCCACTTTATCTCTCCATACAGAGACTCAAAGCAGCTCACAATCAAAAACATTGCAACTTAAAATATACAAATATACAATAATAAAACAGTATGTCATTATATATTATCAGTAGTAATTATATGTAATAGCTTAGTACTACTATATTACAATCATATTATTATATTGTATTATTATTAGTATTATGCCTGTTTTAGACTCTTAAAACATCCAGGGTTTCTCTCTTTGAATCCAATTTGTCCAATGACAGAAGACTGCTGGCTTTTACATCCTGTTATACATGTGTAAATAATCAAGCTGATAGTTATTTCGAAAATGTGGTAGTGTGCCGAAAATGTATTCCAGCTCATTGATCTGGAGCAAGGTTGTAGTTCCTAACAACGCCACTCCTTAATGATTGTTGAGACTTAACTTACTGTTTTTGGCAAGAGAAGAAATGGGTTGTATGTTGCTTTATTGCAGTATTTTTCTTTTAAAGAAAAGTCAGTGTTCATTTTTGCAAAGCCAGAGACGGAGTTGATAAAAATAAAGAATAGAAGTGGCTGGAGGATTCTAGAAGTAGTATGAAAAGATGGTGAAGAGAAACAGGGGACATCTTAGCTATGTATAAATATTTGAAAGGAGGGGTCGAGCTTCTTTTTTCTACTTCTCTCTAGACTAGGAAAAGGTAATCCACCTAAACTTTAAGAAGAATGTCTTGGTGTTAAGAACTGTTTGGCAGTGGAATATGCTTCTTTGGACTGTGGTGGTGTCTCTGTCTCTGGAGGCTTTTAAGCAGAGGCTAGATCAGGCATGGGCAAATTTAGGCCCTCTAGGCACTTTGGAATTCAACTTCCACAATTCCTAACAGCCAGTTGTTAGGAGTTGTGGGAGTTGAAGTCCAAAACACCTAGAGGGCGGAAGTTTGCCCATGCCTGATCTAGTCTCTGCTTAAAAGCCTCCAGAGAAAGAGACACCACCACAGTCCAAAGCAGCATATTCCACTGCTGAACAGTTCTTACCACCAAGACATTCTTCTGTTTCCTTGCCATTTGAAACCATTGCTTTCTTGTGCCCTGGTCTCTTAGAATAGCATAAAGTCAGTTTTGCACCACCTCCTCAATGAGACAGTCTTTTAAATCTTGGAAACATGGTTCTCATGTTCCTTCTCTTCTCCCAGCTAAACATCCCCTAAGGAGGAAAGGAGAAAGGAAACAGAGAAGAAAGGGAGGAAGAAAGGGAGGTAGAGAAGGATGGAAGGAAGGGTGGAATTGAGGGAGGGAAGGGAGAAGGAAGGAAAAACAAAAGGGAAGGAAGGAGAAAAAGAGAGAAGGAAGGAAGGGGGAAAGAGGGAACGAAGGACAAAAGGGTGGGAGGTAAAGAGGGAGGGAGGGAGAAAGATGGAGGTAAGTAAGGAAGGGAAGGAGGAAGGAAAGAGAGAAGGAAGGATAGGATGGTGAGAGAGAGAGAGAGAGAGAGCTTGAGAAAAGAGCCCAAGGGGCTGCATCCAGCCCATGGGCCTGGGTTTGCCCATGCCTGACATAGATCATTTTTGTCAGTATTCTGCTCACTTGGAATTCAGTTTTACATTAAAAATCTCACCATCCTATAAGGATAACTTGAGAAAAATGTATGTAGGAGATTTTATGAACTTTAGAAATAATAAAGAGCTTTACGAACAAAAATATTTTGAGGGCATTAATTGTAAACTATCTTCATATAATATAATACAATCAATCTCTCAAGAAGTTGGTTCCTGTAAGCACGTATTTTATTCTGGGGAGGAAATGAAGAATGAAATTATTTCAACCATGATCTTCTGTGAATCTTTGGGAACTTCATTGAGCTCAGTAAAATTTCCTTGAATAAACATGCATAGTATTTCACTGTTAGTTTACTAAGAAAACATTTCCTTGTTCCTGAAGAAATGTTTCAGGCTATTCATGTTTTCTATTACCAGTAAGGTAAAAACAAAGATATTCTAAGGCAGTGTTTCTCAAACTGATCCTCAAGCTGTTTTGTACTTTAGCTTCCATAAATCCCAGCCAGCTTACCAGCTGTTAGGAATTGTGGGAACTGAAGTTCAGAACATCTGGAGGAGCACAGTTTGAGAAACTCTGTTCTAATGAATACATAACAAAAAAAATCTTAACTTGGCCGATATACTGAGAAAATATAAATGTGGATTGCTTAGCCCTTTTCAGTACCTACCAGTTATTCCCTGCAAATAAACCTGTATGCCAGTCTCAACCTGTGGGTCCTCAGGTGTTTTGGTCTTAGAAATCCCAGCCATTTTACCAGCTGTTAGGATTTCTTAGAGATGAAGGCCAAAACATCTGGGGACCCACAGGTTGAGAACAACCGCTCTATGCCATCTTTCTAACTACTTTGTTGATGGTATGTATGTATCTGTTTACTTGCAAAAATGAACGGACTGGTAGAGAGAAAGTTAAGCCCAAAGTCCCATTATTCCACCAATACTACACCACTGGAGAAATTACACTGTTTAGCCGGTACTGCACCACCTGACATCTGCCAGGGAGTAGCAACCAATAGTGAAAGGACAAAGGCAGTAACATCTCCGGCCCACCCCCTATTAGGGTATCAGCCAGCACGCCAACAACTTAAATCAAGAAATAGTTTTCTAAGATCTACAGAGACACTTGCTGGAACACCTCAGCAAGCGAGAGTCCAAAAGTGGCAGGCTCAAACCCAGAACCTCAATCAATGACTGATACTAAATGAGAGACTCCCTCCTGGGCACACAGAAAACTGGGCGACTTGGAAGATGCTGAACAGACTGCGCTCTGGCACCACGAGATGCAGAGCCAACCTTAAGAAATGGGGCTACCAAGTGGAATCCACAGCATGTGAGTGTGGAGAAGAGCAAACTACAGATCACCTACTGCAATGCAACCTGAGTCCTGCCACATGTACAATGGAGGACCTTCTTGCAACAACACCAGAGGCACTCCAAGTGGCCAACTACTGGTCAAAGGACATTTAATAGAATACCAAGTCTGCAAACTTTGTGTCTTGTTTGGTTGGTTGTTTGTTTTTAGTGCAATACAACTTTTGGTTTGCTCCTGACACAATAAATATATAAATACCAATACTGGACCACCAATGCTTCAAACTAACTTACCGGCGCATTCGTTCATAATGTGTAGTAATTTCAATTATTAGGAAAGCAAAAGACTTGACAAATTTCCCTCGTGGTTCCCTAATGGTTCTTCTACAGTTTTGAAAAGTTGTATCACATTGTTTAGGGAGTTTAATAGTATCTCAAGTAAAGCAGTTACTTTGCTGAGTAACATTTAATAATTAAGTTACTGTAGTTGTTTTAGCCATTTAGTCCATACTTCAGGAAACAAAGCCCAACTGTTCATGGGAGAGAAGGATAGTAGAGGCAAAGATGAAGTACTTTGGCCACACCATGAGAAGACAGGAAAGCTTAGAGAAGACAATGATGCTGGGGAAAAAGGAAGAGGGGCCGACCAAGGACAAGATGGATAGATGGTATCCTTGAGCTGTGGGAGGTGAAGGAGCTGTGGGAGGTGACGGCCGACAGGGAGCTCTGGCGTGGGATGGTCCATGAAGTCACAAAGAGTTGAAAGTGACTGAACGAATGAACAACAACAAAGTTGTTTTAGCAACAGTTTGTGACACTAGTACAGTTTGAGCATCTTTTATCCAGAATTTTGGAACAGCAAATACTCTCGAATCCACAATACTTCTCATGGGTGACTATAAAGTGACAACTTTGTTTTCTGATGATTCAGTGTACAGATGCTAAGTTTAATGCACAAAAATATTTACAATGTTGTATAAAAATACCTTTAGGATATGTGTAATAATGCGTATATGAAGCATTAATCAATTTGATGTTTAGGGTCCCATCTCCAAGATAACTCAATATGTACACATATACTATTTCAAAATACAAAGCACTTGTGGTCCCAAGTATTTTGGGTAAGGGATACTCAACCTGTATCTTGATTTCACGAAGTAGGATGACACATAATCCCAAGATATTGTTACGATGTGACTGAAAAAGTTAAAATATTAATACCCTGTCTTAATCTTAAAAATTGCTCATGTGGTATTTCTGATTTCAATAGAATAAATTATATGCCATGACATGTAAGACCATTGTGATAATTCCATATTATTGTGTTTGCTATTTTGGTATCTTCCATTTATTAATGGAGGTGATTTCCATTATTTCATATGTAATCAATAACCATTTTTTAAAGTTGCATATTATTTCTATAAAAATAATAAAAATTCTGTATTAGTTCTCATGGTACTTGCGCATTCTCAGTTATCCTTCTAATGAAGTAAACTTTCTTGTACTTGTTAATTTGAATTGTGTATTTGTACACTATTTCTTAGCTGTGAGTTTTTTTTCCTCCTTTTTCAGCTTATAGCAGCAGCTAAATGGAGTCTGAGCAGCTGTTCCATAGAGGTTATTATCGAAATAGCTACAACAGTATAACTAGTGCAAGCAGTGATGAAGAACTTCTCGATGGAGTAGGTGTCATAATGGATTTTCAGACATCTGAAGATGATAATTTGTTAGATGGTGATGCATGCATAGGTAAGTGAGTAAACTATCATTTTTTTGTCTTTTTTTGTACATGCTGGGAGATTATGCTTTAATATGTGCAGATATGATATTGCAGAATATTTGTAGACATGAACATAATGCAGTATTACTGTCTTAGTTCAGATATTGTGGCCAAAACTATGAGGGCACATGCTCCAATTCACCTTCTCACTTCCTCATACTGATTCTCACTCCCAGATTGATCACTTGCCCCACTGGTAATGAGCGCTGTTTTTAATTGAGTGTTAGTTATTGTTTCATGCTTCTATGTTTTATTTAATTGTATTTTTAAATTGTTTTCGTTTTATGTTCTGTTTTAGGCACCTTGTGCTATGTGTAAACTGCCCGAAGTCCCTTCGGGGAGATGGTGGTGGGATACAAGAATAAAGTTGTTGTTGTTGTTTTTGTTGTTATGTCTAATATTCAGCTGTAGAAAACATGGTTACAAAAGTGATACTTCTAGTTTTGATAGTAGAACTGCGAACCATTACACTATGTAACACGATTGTTGTTCCTGGATTGTAATAAACATGGAAAAAGTTTATTGTGGGACATTCTGCAGCACATTTTGCTATAGTTTTCCAATGAATATCTGATAGAGTCACAACCAATTCAACATAGTTTGTGGTAGCCATAAAAATGAAATTTCTGAAGTTCAATAATTACTTTCAAAGTAAGTACCACACAATTAAACAGGAAATAACACTTTCAAACCAGGAACAGACAATGTATTGTTGAAGGCCTTCTTGACCAGAATCACTGGGTTGTTGTAGGTTTTCCTGGGCTATATGACCATGTTCTAGAGGCATTCTCTCTTGACGTTTCGCCTGCATCTATGGCAAGCATCCTCAGAGATAGTGAGGTCTATTGGAACTAGGAAAATGGATTTATATATCTGTGGAATGACCAGGGTGGGACAACCCAGGAACAGACAATTTTTCAAATTTTGTTGCATAGTGTTATTTGTTCTTGCTGTTTTTTGTGATAACCAAAAATCCTAAATATCTTTTCTGTAATATAGATATGCATCAGTGTAGTTATGTTAGATCCCATTATCCCTCCGGGGAGATAAGGCAGAATATAAATAAAGTTTTATTATTATTATTTATATTCTCATAGGTTTGCCAGTAATTGTTCATTGGGACCAAGACCTTGACCTTGTGCATTTCACAGTGGTTGATTAGTTCCACATCTACCAAATCATTTATGAGAGACAGAACAGTATGTGTTGGGACAACTAAGAGTGCTAGCAACAGCACTCATGTGGTCTGAGAAAGCACAATCCCTTATAGCAACTATTTTAATACTAATATAATACTGCAGTCAATCAGATTCGGTCCACAATGCTCAACATAGATATAGCTGTATGTAATCACAAACTAGGAAATGCAGGATGTTTGGAACAGTGCCAGAAGAAGGAAGTAGAAAAGCATGAGACAAATTCTGGCAACAAAATGATTCTGTTGGTCATATGATAACTAGATGTAGAGAACTGATTTTCCTTGCATTCACTGAATATTTAATATGGCATGATTTTCAAATCAATTCAATGCTTGAAAAGAAAATAAAGACTATATAACCCTACTTTTGGAAATGTGTCTTTATTTTTAAACAAAATGAGCATTTTGGAAAGTGTTATTAGATGTTATTATACCTTTAGAAATAAATGTGTGAAATGGTCATTTTTGTATCTGTAGACTTTCTCAAAATATTGCTGAAAAACATATAATTATTAAATTTGCATCCTAATTTTGATATGCTCATCTATTATAAAACAGATAGTACTACAGTGTTCTGTGCATTTATATAGTGAATTTATAGATGGCATTCTTCATCTAGAATGTCTCAGTGTTTTATTTCATTTTCATTACAGTATTCTTATTCTCTCTGGCTTAATATACTGTTGGACCAGAGCTGTCAGTAAGTGGCTTTCAACCTTCTGGAAAATATACCACTTGCTTTTCTCCTCCCTGTGGATTGTTCTGAATGTGCTAGAGTTGGGCATATTCACAGTGTAATAAAAACAGTTAAGATCTTTCTCATGGAAGTTCGTTTCAAATATTTTGTATGCTTCTTGTTTTTCTGGACAGATTTATTTAAAAAGAGAAATCTCTGCTGTTCTTCAAGTGTGACCGAAACACGTTAATGACCTTCCCATAGCTCATAAACATACATATTGTACTTGGCAGCATTTAAGAAGAAAGTCATAAAGAAAGGAACAATAACTCTTGAGTGTAACACTAGAAAAGCCATGGGTGAGTTAGAGGAAGAAAATGTAATCTATTCTCATGGAGACTTCATAAGAAAAAGGAAAACTTCATATGTGTGAAATGGAATGTGTGTTTGAGCTGCTGAGCATAAACGATTAGAGTGGAATGAATGAATTCAAGGAAGCAAGGCATACCTCTTTGGCATATTTAAAGAATCAGCTATAGAAATCTAAGCCCTCTTGCAAATTAGAGAAGTTTATAGAAGCAATGTGGCTAACAAATTCCAGAATACCAGAATGATCTTCAGTGTTATATGAAAAGTTGCTATAATAAGCTGGCAAGAGCTGATTTTCATATTATGCTACATCGTGGCTTAGTGCTGCATGTATGGCCTTTGTTATCCCTTCCCTTCATTTTTCTTACATGTTTGGGAGAAACATTTTGAATATGTGATGTGGGGAACTGGCTATAATTATTTTCTAAAGTGGCAGAGACAAGTGCCGTATTTGTGTCCCCTGGTTACAAGAGTTCCTTTCTTGGAAATTCATCAAGGGCTGGCAGCCTAATGCCTCGGGGACTGGCATTAATCCAAGGACCACCACTTTGAGGAGCAGTGTTCTGATGGCAGGTTCATTCATACTGAGAAGTTAGCCTTGTGAAATTAAACTCCTTTGACGACCTTTTGAGTGAACAGGGATGGCAAACTTCAGGGTTTTACTTGGGACTTTGGTTGATTTGCAAAGCAGACCAAAGGTAAATTGTGGTGTGGATATGTGTGTAGAAACACTTTCCCTTGATTGCTTTTGACAATAATTATGAATCAATTTCTATCCCTTTAATCTATTTTCTGATTTAATCTACCACCCTGCCATTGCAGAGCCCCTGGTGGTACAATGTGGCGGCATGACTGCTGACCGAAAGGTTGGCAGTTCGAATCCAAATAGCGGGGTGAGCACCCGTCTGTCAGCTCCAGCTTCTCATGCGTGGACATGAGAGAAGTCTCCCACAGGATGGTAAAACATCCAGGCGTCCCCTGAGCAATGTCATGGCAAACGGCCAATTCTCTCACACCAGAAACAACTTGCAGTTTCTCAAGTCGTCCTGACATGAAAAGAAAAACAAACCCTGCCACTTTTGCTCTTATAAGTCTATTCTTGTTGCTAAGCATAGTTGAAATGGATGCATCCACGATCTTATCCTAGACACCATTCACTATATATCCTGTTAGAACAAGCTCTGTAACAAATAGAGTTGCTGATATGTTTGGGTCATATAGCTTCTATTTAGGCTTCATTAAACAACAAGGAAGAAAAAAGCACACCCTGCGAATTAGGTCTTGGCTAGGTCAAGATGTTCTTCTTAGGTTGGACCTGAAACATACTTTTCTAATTCACTGCCATTCCTGAGAGAAGTTAATTTTCTGTCTTGTATATTGAGAGAAGCCAGTAGTACAATTCTATGTAGGTTTACCCATTGAGTTCATTGTGACTTATTCCAGGGTATATATAGGCTCAGATCCTGAATTTCATACCTTTGATCTTTCTCATTAGACTGCTAGAAGTTATCTGACATACTTCTGCCTTTCAACATAGCAAAGAGAGCTTTGTGTTTTCAGCAGCTATTCAAATTAGCCATGGGTGAATTCAAGGAACATACTAAATTTTGGCTAAAGAATCCTTTTTGGTACACGTTGGCATTAAAAAAAATCAAATGGTTTGTAGTTGGCTAGATTTATTTAAATTTGCTAGCCAAATAAGATCATGGTCTGCCATTTAGAAGTTTCCAAACTATGGTTTTTATTCATTATAATTTGGTCTATTGTGACAAACAATTATAAAGCTCCTAGCTTCCTCATGCGAAGACAAAAAATTAATGTATTTTAGGGATGAGTATTAAATCGATGGAGAGGGGAAAGGACGAAGCTGGGAAAACTATCCATCTCAAATCCATTTAACACTTATATGCTAGGGTTGTTTATGCTTCAAAAACATAATGTAAAATGATGCTAGTTTTGAAAAGTGTCACTTAAAGAAAATATTCATTTCACTTTCTACAGTTTTGTGCATTCACAGTTTATTTATCCATGCCCACCCATTTCCCATTATGAGACCCATGTTGTCTATTACCAAACGTCATTGATCTCATTCCCACATGCATCTTCAATATTTATACAGTCTAGAGTCTCTAGAAAATTCTCTTTTTTATAAGAAATCTGGAACTCGTGTATTCATATTTATATGCAGCCGAAACACAAAAGATGCTGCAGAGATGTCAAGTGTAAACTAAGTGTCAAAAAAATGAACAAGAGAATAGAAATGAGAAAGTAACTAAAGTAGTCAGCATGGCTCACTCATGGAATTATCTTAGCTGCCATGCCAGCTAGAATGCCCCTGGTCCTGCAATAACAAAGATGGATCCAGGAGCACATCTATGCTAAACACCTGATTCTTAAGGGAAGTGCAACTCTTGTTCTGAACAGCAACTTATGCTTATCCCAAACTTGGGAATTGCTCTTTCACAGAGCTGCTTTGTAACTAGGATTAAATTTACCACTCTGATCCAACTCATCATTGTGTTCCATCATTGATCCAGGGCTTGCCCATCTATACCTGCTTCAGACATTATGAAAAACAGATCTGTGTCTCTAGCATATTGACGACCCTTTGTGATTATTCTCCTAATGACTATTCACAGTGACTTTGCATAGACATGAAAGAATATAGATGTCAACATGCATAAATGCATTAGGGTAGAGAAGAGCTTCCCTTGATTTAATCTAGA